CTCTGGTCTACCCAGAGTAACACACTATTCTACACCTGATTACCCTTGCTAATCACCACTTTAACTTAGTGCCCAGATCTTCAGACTTTATAACTTGAAGTTAGTAGATATGTCTGCTCTTTCTGTACCTCAGTTTCTTTGTCTATAAGCATAAGAGAGTTATGTTTATATATATATATATATATATGTATATATGTATATATGTATATATATGTATATATATGTATATGTATGTATGTATATATATATAAAACCATGTCTATATATTACAGAGATATTGCACAGTTCAACAGAAAAAAACAGAAGGTGTATTAAAGAGTTTTTTTTTTTAGTTTAAAATGCTGTACAAGTTTAATTTGTTATGAGGTCAGTTTGTAGATTTTGGTGTCACAAATTGGTAAGCATTAGCTTAGAAGACCTGTGTGTGGATGCATCTACTTTGCACATGCACAGAGTCTCAAGAGATCCAACCATGGAATATCGTCTCCCTGTTTACCCAGGCTACAGAGGAACCTGTTTTGAAATGAGCAGGATGCAGTGAGTGAAAGCAGTCGTGCATTAAGATAAAGTGATCACAGAAATCTCCTCCTCTGGAGAGGAGCCATTTAAGCAGAAAGTTGAATAGTAAGCAAGAGGCAATCCTGAGAACAATCAGAGGAGAGAGAAGGTGCAAAGGGCCTGGGGTAGGAAGAGGCTACTCTTTCCCAGGTGCTGACTCCTTGGTGGACAAAAGATGTGAAATTTCAAAGGAACCCATGGACCAGCTCCCCTAGGGCTTGGCAGGCCATGGCAAGGATGCTGGGTGCTACTCAAAATGTGTGGGAACCCCATTGAGGCATTTTTAAAAGATGATTCTGTCTTTTCTCTGCTGAAAATTAACTTTGAGGGAGCAAGGTAGTCAAAGAAGTTTAGAGGAAATTGCATATATCCCTGCAGAAGGACATCACACATGGTAAAATAGAGTCAGCAACTAGATGAACTGTTTGGTAAATCAGAAGACCCTCAACTAGATAGTCTGACACAAGGGCTGTCACGTGGGCTCAGACATATCAATGATTGTGAAGTGGCAAGGGCTCTTCTCATTCTGTTGTGCCTGGGTCACTGTGAATTGGGATCAAGTCAACCACGCCTAACAACAACAACAAGACTAAGTGTAATGATAGATTGTCTGGGATGTGGCCACCCTCATTTTCTTTAGTTCAGCCTTGCTCTTTGAAGCCCCTCAGGCCACCTCATCACTTGTGTTTTGTCCTAATCTCCTTTAGTACTCTTTGACATAGTTCTCATTCTGCCAAATGGTTGATTCAGCACAAAACATACCTGTTTGTCTTCTGTCTAATACAGTCCATAGATATCTATTGAAGGGATAGATGCATACATGCATTGATTCTCCGCGGCCAAGGTGCCTCAGAGTCACCTGGGGGGATTTAGGAACATGAATACTAGCCGAGGCCTGGGAGGGTTATGCAGTTTAAGCCATTTTTTGGCAAAGCTTCCGAGGATTCTGATCTGCAGCCAGAGGGTAGAACCAGGGCACTGGGTTAATTTTAGGTGGTCTGAGATCTTCCTTAGGACTGTTACTCCCACCCACTCACCCCCAATGCTGATATATTTATCTTTATGAATGTTGAAGGCTTAACAGAAAAAGCCGAGTTATCTAGCTTTTTAAAAGTTGCCCAAAAAATAAATACAAGAGTCTCTAGAAGCCTCCTGGGAGCAGTGGGTGAGAGTTTGGCTGCTAACAGAAATGTTGGTGGGTTGAACCTACTAGTCGCTCCACAGGACAAAGATAAGGAGTCTCTAGTTAGACGCATAGCTCGATGTTAATGCTCCAGGTCATCGGGATCCGTCTCCCAAGGATGAGCTATCAGCTTACCTTTGAAAGGGGAAGGTCCATCACTATTTTTCACTAGATATCTGAAATTTGACTGTTTTCCTTTGGTTTTTTACCATTTCTTGAGTCTGAAAACCCCCAGACAAGCAAAGGATTCAAGTTGACTCTCCCCCATGTGGAAGTCCCAAGCCTCGGCGATGGTGTGTTTTGTCCAAGTGTTTTGATTCCACCAGAGGAAGGTCTTTATTTAACTCTATAATGTGTATAGGATAATATCATGTCAAGGCACCTGCTTCCAAATAGAAACTAGGATGTTAGCGATAATAACAATAAACAGAAATTAAACTGAGCTGGGCTCGGTGCCCAGGAGAACTAGCCAGGCTCCAGGAACTGGGCAAGGGATAAACTGGTAGAGAGAACAAGCTGAAATGGATGGGGCTGCCACTGCCTCCATCGCTCGTGATGGCTCTGCAGTGCGACCCACTGCTGAGGAATCCCCTGGAGATGTTCACCCTGTGGGTGGTGTTCCCACCCTTCTCATTGCAGCGACCAATGTCCAATAGATCTCCTGTCCTGAAGGTCAGTCCTAAACATGTCAGTAGTCCACAGTGAGCCTGGATTGTTTTTGAAGTTATCCAGTGCTACAAATTATTGGGAAGCAAATGGGCCGACAGCAAAAATAGGCGGTCCTGACAACTTTAAATAAAGTTAGAAGACATGCCTTCATGCTCCCCAGGATGCCTAAATGTCGTATGATTTACATAAACAAAGGAGGAAATCCTCTGAGTGTGTTTAGGGGTGTGTGTCTAATACAGGAACTCATGCTTTCCTGTTATTGAAAAGCATTCTTTAATCTTTTGAGCACATGTTAGAACCTGCATATATTCCAGGTATGTTGTTTCCTTGAACGTTCAGACAGAAGAGCAGAGTGGGTGTAAGAGAGAAACCCTACCAGAGCCTCTCTTTGTTTGGTAGGAGACGTGCGCACACACACACACCCACAAGTGACTCCACTGAACGGAGGGACAGAGCCCTGGGAAGACTGCTAACGTTGCCTGGATTTAGTTAAGGGAACTGGATACCCCTAACGGGGACTTCACAGGTTCATCCTCGGAGCTCTAGGCTAGGGAAGCCCTTTGTGAACAGAGACTGCACAATGTCCCTCATCCTGTGTATTAAGAGGATGATGCCTCTTTAACCACCAAAAGCAATGTACCTGGTGTGAACATTTCAGAAGCTGTTAGCCGAGTGTAACTGGAACCATGGGGAATAAAGCATAGCATGAGTTGAAGAGAAGAAAAGGAATGTTTTTGTCTTTGACTAATTTCTGATTCGGCACAGAGGGAGCAGATTTTACCGAGGACAGGCAAAGAACACTCACCTTTGGTTCCTCCCTCTGGGCCCTGCTTTCCTCCGTCGATGACTCCAGCCATTGAAACTTATCATTGAAACATATCACCATAGGCTGTGATATGGATGAAAGAGAGTTTTCGCCTTGTGGGTTGTTTTTTTTTTTCGGGGGGGGGGGGGGGTTAACCACCAACCTTGATGGAAGTGGGTGCTTTTGGCCTTTCACTCCTCACGAATTCGGTTTGGCATCTGTTGGGCAGTTCCTTGCACGTGAGGGACCTGGGGGGTTATTTTGTAGCACATGTTTACCGCATGCATGCATCACCTTCAGCATCCATGCTTAAGATTGTAGTTATCACAACCAGCGGGACTTTCTTCTCACCCAGCTGGTTCAGTAGCACCATGTCTAGTTGATATTACGACTGCACAGAGCTAGGGGCTTAGAAAGAACTTGTAGGGAAAAAAATTTCGGGTGAGATACCAAATTACCTCCCCATCCTTGAGGCTCTAGAACAGCAGTTCTCAACCTGTGGGTCGCAACCACTTTGGGGATCCATTGACCTTTTCACAGGGTTCGCCTGAGACCATCAGAAAACACATATTTCCGATGGTCTTAGGAACCGAGACACCGCTCCTCTATCCGTCTCCAGACGGGTCCGCCCACATACAGATACGCCCACCTACAAGTACCCTGCGTGAAGACTGTTACCCATGCTACACTATGCTTCAAGACAACATTTCATTGATTTGCCATTAGAAATAAAGATTTCACAATATAGAATTGCATATTGTTTTTATGATTGATCACTATGCTTTAACTATGTTCAATGTGTAACAATGAAAATACATCCTGCCTATCAGATATTTCATGACAATTCATAACAGTAGCAAAATTAGTTATGAAGTATCAACAAAATAATTTTATGGTTGTGGGTCACCACCATATGAGGAACTGTATGAAAGGGTCACAGTGTTAGGAAGGTTGAGAACCGCTGCGCTAGAAGTAAGCCAAGACAAACATACCCAGGGTAACGGTCTCACGGCAGGCTGAAGGCTGAGAGGCGCACTTCTTCAGCATGGAAGCAGGTGGGGGCACAACTGAAAAGACCGGGGAAAGGAGCCTACCTGGCCAGAGAGATGGGGTCCCTTAGGTGCCATGTCAGGGTGCACTCAGAATGCCAGGTACCTTTGTGATCAACCACAAGGCAGGTACAAACTAGAGGGCATTTTAAAGAGGAAAATTAAACATTTGCTGTTTCATTTTGTGTTGTGTTGACTGAAGGCTGAGTCCTTTTCTTATTTAAAGCCTGAAATATTTACACTGGACTAGACGTGAGAAATGTGCATCGTAACTTGCCCTGAGAGCCAGGGACCTTCCCTCCCTTTAAAATGCATCCTTTCTTGATGAACCTCACGTGAATCCCGTCAGCCCTGTGCTTGTCTGCGATTATTCCCTTCTCCTCTAGCCTCCATTAAGGGTGGTTCTGAGTCACGAAGGAGCCCTCCCAACTGTAAAGTGCTTGAGGGCAATGATTAGCGTGCCTGTTTCCTTGGACTTCACCTGCATCAAACAATCTCATGTTCATATCCCTTTCTACTTTCTCTCTCTCTTCTTTCTCCTTCTCCACCCTCTCCGCTTCTTCCATCCCTCTGACTCCCCCTTCCCCTCCCCAACACACACACACACACACACACACACACACACACACCACCACCACCACCACCCCCACCACCACCACCAACAACAACAACAACACTGAATGAGGGTGGAAACTCGCCTGCAGCCCTACTGATCTCAGCGGTCTTTCCTTGACAGTGACAAACAAGAAGCCAACCCAAGCATCCATCACGAAGGTCAAACAGTTTGAAGGCTCCACGTCCTTCGTTCGGAGATCGCAGTGGATGCTCGAGCAGCTCCGCCAGGTTAATGGCATCGATCCTAATCGGGTGAGTAACTTGTTCAATGCCGACCAAAGGAGTTCTCTCACCAGATGACTCTCTGAGGTTGGCCGTGGTGGTGGTTTTAATCATTTTTAACAAGGCTGCTTCTTGTTCTCAGTTATGTGATTAAGACTTATGGCTCTTTAGAAATCTTGTCGTCTGGTTTGATGGGGGGAATCTAAGGGCCTGTGTAATAAAGAAATGCTGCCTCCACTAATGTGTGCTTCAGAATTCACTGTGCAAAGGCAGAATTCAAATGATCAGACCCATGGTTCTCAATGTTCATTAAGCTTCACTGAGCTCCTAAAGCACTAAAAATAAAGTTTTTCACAAAAATATAAAATATGGCATCACAAGCAATTATACATTGGGATTCTGTTGAGTTTCCTAAGCATTTTATAGTAAACTATGTATTTACAGTACATCCCCTTTTGCTTATGCACACATGTTCACATAAAATGTGCATATGAAGAAAAGCAAGTGTATTGTTATATTAGGCAGTAACCCCCCAAAACCGATGCTCATTTTTTTTAATGTAAGGGGGATAGTGCATTTGGAGTTAGTTCCACCAGATCAGACTGTTAATCAAGCTTTCTATATAGAGGTTCCAAAAAAATAATGTGTAACAGTATGCAACCAAAAAAGGCCTACTTTGTGGCAGACAGGGGGACTGGTTTTGCCACCATGACAATGCACCTGCTCACACAGCCATCTGCCAGCTTTTGGCAAAAAAACAGTATGCCTCTCTGCCCCACGCACCTTACTTACCCAACCTCGAGGGACATGAAAGGACAGCAATTTGATGACTTAGAAGAGATGAAGGAAAAAACTGAGGGAGGTGCTACCAGCCATCCAAACAGATGAGTTTGAAAAATGTTTCCCAGAATGGAATCACAGATTTGAGAACTATACTAAGTGTAATGGACAGTACTTTGAAGGTGATAAGGTAGTTTTGTTAAAAAAAAAAAAAAGTAAATACATAACTTTAAAAAATATCCATTTGCGGGGCGAACCCCCTCGGTATTGCACAGTAATGCTGGGAATACGGTTCTACCAAAGTTTAAGGGCAAAATTAATATGCTTTAGTCATGAGAACCTTGTTCCAGTTGGAATGGCAATAAAATACATAGTCTGAATTCTTACACAAGTCTTGATGTCTTAGTTAGGCGGTAGCAACTTCTAGGCTACCAATTTCCCCTGGATGCCTGTAAGCACTAAAAGATGTGGGCATTGCTGGATAAACAGGAAAACATTTTCTGTTTATACTCTCCATGTACTCAGATGCTAATAAAGATGAGACGTATGAACCTTGTCTTTGAAAAGCATTTTAAGCTCTGAGTCTTTAAAGGGAGGTGAGCTGAAATCAGCAGTTTTGATAGCTCAAGATCAATCGTCCTTTCACTGTCTTTTCCAGGATTCTGCAGAGTTTGATCTGTTGTTTGAAAATGCTTTTGACCAGTGGGTAGCCAGCACAGCCTCAGAAAAATGCACCTTCTTCCAGATCCTGCACCACACCTGCCAGCGATACCTCACAGACAGGAAGCCGGAATTTATTAACTGCCAGTCCAAAATCATGGGAGGTGAGTGGGCATTTCTATAAGCTAGTCATCTTGAAACTCACTTATACATGAGAAAGATGTATAATCCTCAGGAGAATGAAAAACCCCAAAGAAACAAAAACGAAATCAGACAGCAGGAGAGCCCTTCTAGAGAGTGGAGGATATGCTAAATCTTGACATGGTGGTAAGTTTCCATTCTTATCCCCAAACTGGGCTTCTTAGAAAAATCGACTTCAGCATTTTCTTTACACTAGAGCCCTTGGTATCAGCTCCTCTATTTTCCCCTCCCTCCTCCACCCTCCCGCTCTCATGAACCCTTGATAATTTATCAATTATTTTTATTTTCATATTTTACACCATCTGCTGTCTTCCTCCACCTACATTTCTGGTGTTCATTCCCCTGAGAGGGGGGCGGTTGTATGTCAATCATTGTGAACGCTTCCCCTTTCTCTCCCTTCTCCCCCCACCTTCGGCCTACCCTCATGGTATCGCTACTCTCATTATTGGTCCTGAGGGGATTATCTGTCCTGGATTCTGTATGTCAAGAGCTCTTATCTGTACCTGTGTACATGCTCTGGACTAGCTGGATTTGTAAGGTAGACCTGGGGTCATGATAGTTAGGATTTGTAAGGTAGACCTGGGGTCATGATAGATAGATAGGAGGAAGCATTAAAGAACTAGAAAAATGTGTTTTTCTTCAGTGCTATACTGCACCCTGGCTGACTCATCCCTTCCTTGTGACCCTTCTATGAGGGATGTCCAATTGTCTACACTCTGACTCCCCTCGTTGCATTGAAATCGTTGCTTTTTATGGGTCTTCTGATGCCTGATACCTGATCCCATCAACACCTTGTTATCACACGGGTTGGTGTACTTCTTCCATGTGGGCTTCATTGCTTCTGAGCTAGATGGCCGCTTGTTTAACTTCAAGCCTTTAAGTCCCCAGACACTATAGCTTTTGATAGCCGGGCACCATCAGGTTTTTTCACCACATTTGCTTATGCACCCATTTTGTCTTCAGCGATCCCCTCGGAAAGGTGAGCATCAAAGGATGCCAGGTTATTAGAACAAAATGTTCTTGCGTTGAAGGAGGACTTGAATAGAGACCCAGTGTCCGTCTGTTACCTTAATACTTAACCTATAAGTAGATGTAAATAGACCTATATCTCTATTGTTATCTCTTAATATATTTACATATGAGCATGCCTATGTTTATACCTCTATAAATGTCTTATGTCACCTAGTTCTTTCCCCTAGTTCCTTTTCCTTTCCTCCTGTCCCACTATCATGTTTGACCTTCATTCAGTTCTCTGTACTTCCTCTCAGCTACGTTGCACTTGATTGAACCCCACCAGGCGTTCTATGCCCTCCTCACCACTGATTTTAGATCTCTTGTTGGTCCGGTGTCCCTGGGTTTGTTGGATTTCCCTCTCCTTTTCCCCCATCCCCCCTCTCCCCTGTCCCCTAGAGCCTTCAGTCTGTTATTTTCTCCTTGGGCTTGTTTATCCTCCCCACCTTATGTAAATAGGAGTGAAAAAAGAAGAAGAAGAAGAAAACAAAATAGCCTATGAATAGTTTCAGGTCTGCCTGCTGTCCTGCCCCTTTCTTCTGAACTACCACGAGTCCTGTTTGTTCTTTGAGTCTCACGCGCCGAGCTGAGTCAGGAAGAGGCCTGTAATCCAGCACGGAGGGGCAAGTACCAGGCTTGGCAACACAGTAAAGACACTTAGAGAGGACACCCCTTGAGGTGGCATTTCTTATCAAGGAATTAAAACCGTGCTGAAAGTACACAAACCTTTCTAAGTTCTCTGTGAATTTGGGAGCATGTTGGTAATATTGATCTTTTCTCTTGGTGTTAGAGGACTTTAAAAAAACACACCAATTTGAATTCTTAGTTAAACCTCTCAGGATGACCCCTGTGGGAGACATTATATCTTCTCTTGAGCTGCAGGTATCTTTCCTCTGCCTATGAGGCAGAAGCCATGATTTGGTTCTAGCAACTGATGTGCGCACGGTCGTGTTTCCATGCACCTGTTAGATGCGGTATGAAGACGGCATTGTCCCAGTCTTTATTATCCTCTGAAGTGCTTGCCGTTCCTCTTAGACAGGAAGAGGCTTACATCATAGGACCTTGAAAGGTATTTCTTCAGCATCGATGCAGGCTTTCATTACAGCTTCTCTATTTAGTCCTAGAAAAACCGGAGAGGTGATGAGTGGTTGCATATTTTCTTCAAAGTCGTCACATCCTGTGGTATCAAACTGAAAAATGTCCAACACAGATGTTTAAAGGGAAAGGGAATATCAAAGAGTAAGCCCTTACTATTTGGGAAATGTAATGGTATATAGCTTTCTGTCTTGTCTGTGCCACCAAGGCTTTTCAAATGAACCCTGCTTTGAAAACCCAGACTTCACAGCCTTGGCAGAGCTTTGAAGCCCACCAAGCTTAGGCCTGACTACAGACGGCCATGTTTTCAGTGAGTGGAAAGTTGGGCAGGAAATCCTGACCTTCTTGCATTCTGCTGTGGGAGGAGTTGGCTCTGCTGCTCCAGGTCCCAATGTGTTTCTTGGTCTTCAGTTTCTTCTGTGGAACATTTTCCTCATTGGTGTCAGGGGGGAGGTCAATACCTTGTACAGCTGCCCTTGGGCACAGAATCTCCGCTACAGGTAAAAGGATGTGATGGACTTGGAGTTTTCTGGGCCCTTGGAGAGAAGGTGCCCTTGGGCATGCCTCTGCACTGTGCTTCCTCCTGAGCGCAGAGGGGCCAGAAGCAGAGGCAGTGCCATGGCATGAAGACCTGGTGAGGGCAGCACACCCAACTGCTTCCTACTGAGATTAGCCTTGGCTTTGATTACTCTTTCCATCCATCTCCTCTGAGAGACAGCACTAAGCCATTCCTCTCCTCTGTTGCCTCTCCTCTGTTGCTCTCGTTTCTTCTTTCGGATTAGGCCCTTTCAGTCCTTTCTCCACTCAGAGGACTCAGGGTCTAGTCATCCGATAAACAAGTACCAGGAGCCCTGGTGTGCAGTGGTTAAGGGCTCAGCTGCTGGCCCAACGTTCTGTGGTTTGAAGTCCCCAGCTGCTCCATAGCAGAGGAATGTGACAATCAGCACTAGAAATAAAATGGCAGTGGTGGAGCCTACCTGAAGTGCCTTCTGGATTTACTGGTGTCTGACTAAGACAAATGAGGAGAGCCAACCAAACCACATGTGCTCTTGACAAACCACACACAGCCTCTCTTACTATCAGTCATTCATCTTTGCTAATAGTTGTACCAAGAGGATGCTAGCTTATAAATTTGCTAATTAGCCTTCCTTTCCACCAATTATTACAACTCTGAACCTTTTTTAAAAAATCATTTTATTGGGGGCTCATACAGCTCTTATCACAATCCATACATATATCCATTGTGTCAAGCACATTAATACATTTGTTGCCATCATCATTCTCAAA